TTTCACCCCAGTGGGGCGGAAAGGACAGGGGAGGCAATAAGAAGGGACAGTGCTCGAGTACCCGCGGTCACGCGTGACGCCCCCGCCGCCCGGTCTGTGCTTTGGGAGACGCTTCCAAAATAGGGAGCAAGGAAGCAAAGCGATTTGATTTTGGATTTTTAGAGAAGCTAAGAGCGGGACTTGGGTTTTGGAGAAAAGAAACAGTCTGCGGGTCGGGGCCCAGTGGTGGAGCTGGGTCCGGCTTCCCGCGAGTGGGGCGGACGTCAGGATCCGATCCAGCGCCCCTCCTGGTCCGCCGGATCGCCAGTCTGGAAGGAGATCGCCGTGGGAGCTCAGAACCGAAACTTCCACTCTCCTGTGACGGAGGAGATTACGGAGGCCTTTCGGAGCCGGGGGTCAGATGGTAATTGCTCCTAATTGGCATCCCCAGAAGCACCTTAATTATTTATCTGCAGCTGTCACTCAGAGTGCAATTCTCTCTGCCTTTGAAAAGTGGTTTTCTTTCATACCTTTATTCTAATACGAGCAAACCAAAGCCTGGAAACATCAAGAGCAAAGATACGCGAAACGTCGCTTGTGAAATATCTAATTGTTAAAATATTGTGTCGTCTTTAAGAAGAGGAAGTTGTCCGATGTCCAGTGAAAAGTGAAATCAAAAGAGAGGGTTGAGGATGGAGTGGGTAGTTAATTCGGAAATGAGATCCAGAAGCGGGAACCAGAGGTGCCAGAAACCGGCGACTGCGGCATTTCTAAAATGAAAGAGGACAAATAGTAGGAGCTGGAGAATCCGGAGACCTAGCACCGCGAAGTATGAAGAGAAAGAGGCGCAGTTATGTAACCCGGTCATCCGACTGGACTTTCGATGTAAAAATAGTTTTCTAGGGTGAGTCGCCTCTTCTAGAGGTTAAAGCTTAGTTTGAAGGCGGAGGGTTTCATTTTCAAAGCAGCGTTTACCTAACCCTAAACCTGATTTTAATTTCCCTATCCGTGGCCTGTGTAATTCAGGGTATTCTTTTAAAACATTAGTATACAAAACATCAAATACGTCGTTTTTCCTGTTGTGTGAGACATGACTGACTGAAGTTTTGAAATAGATAACTTATTTTCCAGGCTGCATGAGGGATAGCACTTTGCCCGTGTGATGGCAGGTTGAGTGGAGCTTCCTCTGCCGCTTATTTAAGGATTTTACTTGGTGGGTGACAGGAGGGAGGGGTGACTGAAAAGATTAGCTGACTCTTACGAAATATGTGAGTGCAGCCGGCAGTAGTGGTGCACGCCTGTAATCCCAGCCCTGGGGAGGCTGAGGCAGAAGGATCACTGCGAGTTTGAGACCAGCCTGGGCTACACAGTGAGTTCCAGGGCAGTATGAACTACATAGTGAGACTGACTCAAAAAGAGAAAGACAGACATGAGTGGATGTAGGAGAATATGTCCCACCTTCACTGTCCCTGATTATTTTACTGAGACTCAAAAGTTTAAGGCATTTTTGCCAATAAATTTGGCATCTGGATTATCTTTTTTTATTATTATTAAGGCATAATTCCTACCTGAAAGGGGGCATGAAGGCAGAGAACAAAGTCTGCTGAGCTTGAAGAACTAAATAAAATGATGCAGAAATGAACTCTAAAATCCTCACAAATGCTTAAGTACCCTAAGAAGCAATTGTGTTAATGCAGCACCTGACACGCTCTTTTTATTTCACAGGCAAAGTGCTAGCTCTGTGATTAGACCGAATTCTCCAACGACAACATCTCAAATTATGGCAAGAAAGAAAAGAAGAGGGGTGTGTGATTTTTTTTCTTTTTATTTTGTGTAAGCCAATTTAATGGGTAACAGTTGTGATTTTCCATTATGCGTAATTTTATCACTTCTGTATTCATAAACGTTTGTTTTGCTTCTTTTGGGATAGATTATAGAGAAAAGGCGTCGGGATCGGATAAACAACAGTTTATCTGAGTTGAGACGGCTGGTGCCAACTGCTTTTGAAAAACAAGTAAGCTACCTCCACCCCACCTCCCAAAAAAGCTGAGGAATCTGATTCTCTCCTCTGGGAATGTGGGCTCTTGTTAAAGCTCGTTAAAATAATGGTGTATATGCCTGATCGGGCCAGAGCAGCTATTTCAATAAAATGCTTTGTTGTGGCAAAACTATTAAAAACATAATCCATCATGAAGTCGAAAAAACATTTCCATTCTTCAGCTTATTTTCCCTTAAGGGTAACAGTGTTCAGGCTTTGTCCATTCTCTCTGAGAATACCAGAGTGGTTTTGTTTAAAACTCTACTATATGTAGTAGTATTCAAAAATATATGTATATATCATATTTGGAATAACATTTTTCCCTCAATTTGTAAAAAAGTACCATTTTAATTTTTTAAAAAGCCCAGGAAATAACATTTATGGTTCTGTTTCCTAAATAATAATACTAACACAATTTATTTGCTAAGACCTTTGCTTTCATTTTTAATCCCTCAGTGAATACAATGATGTATGATTTGGAGCCTATTTTGGAACTTTGATTAAAAAAAATCAAATTAGCCATAAATGCCCCTTTTCAGAGTTCAAGAATTCATTTACAAAAAAAAAAGATTTTGCACACTTAGAAAAGTAGAAAACCAAACATTTAAATCTTTCTTTGTGGCTTTAGGAAAGCCTTGTATCTCCAATTACCACAATGGCTAATGGCACCGATTTCTAAGAGCATCTTTAGGGAGCGGTGGCAGCGTGTCCTTATTGAAAATATTTTCAATTCAATTCCAAATAGGGTACAAGACGGCAGTTGTTTGTTTATTCCATTTTTTTGTTTGTTTACTTCATGAATCTGCAAACATAAAACAAGCCCTAAAGCCATTGGAGGCCATCCAGAAACTGCAGTCTTGGTTGTTTTAGTTGTTTTCATTGAAACCACTTGTACAACTTCATGGAAAAGCTGCACCCTGACAAAGGTACCAGCTGTGGTCTGCCCCGGATTGGATATATTTTAAGACAAAAAAAGATACCAAGTGGATATGCTGCTGAGACTGTTCTTGATAAGATAATGATAGTGGGAATTATGCTTTTGATTAAGGGCATTGTCAGTTACAATAGGCTGCAAATAAAAATGTTGATAATGTTTTCAGATTTCAAGTACTGAAATGCCTACCGACTGCTGAGTCAGTGCGTTTTGTGATTTTGTTTTTCTGGTTTGTTAGACTTTTTTAAATGTTGACCTAAAACAAGCCTTAAGAGCAAACCCTCAGTTGTCTGGCAGCAAGTTGCCATAAACACAAGCTCTCCCTCTGCAGAGCTTGGCTGCCCACCCTGGTGAGCTGGCCCTGCCACAGGGTGATCAGAAAAAGCTTCTGTACAGCAGCTGAATGACCCTGGCACTCTTGGCAGGAAAGGGCGCTGATAATTTGCACAAAACAACTAAAGAATCTGAAGTAAACTTTAGAATTTAAAAAAATAATAAAACATATTGGTTTAATTCTTTAGGGCCTCCAGGAAATTAGAAGCCACCCACAGCCCTGAGAAAATTTGAGGTGGCACGTTTGTATTTCAATTGGTTTCAGAAGTTGGCTTATTTAAAAAGGGGAATATTAGAGTAATTTGCCAGACAATTTTTATTAAGAACTGTTTTTAAAGACTCAAAAATTCTTAAGTATTTCTGATGCTTCTTAAAGTTATAGTTTGTTCATTTTTGTTAGATCTTGGAATTCACAGTGACACCTGCTGGTAACTATTAGGACCAAATAAAGTTTTTTGTTTTTTTAGTTTCTGCTCTCAACTGGTCTTTTATGAATTACTTTAAGGACTTAGTAGAGTGTATTGCTTTTGGATAATCTACTTTTAACAATAATTTGCCAAAATCCTAGTTTCTTATCATCTAGTATTCAACTTTTCAACTGATTTTGACTTCAGGTTTCCTGTTTATGACTGTTGAATGTCTCCTATAAAATATATTATTGACCAAAGTAGAACTTGAACATCAAGGTTAAGGGTACTTTAAAATTTGAGGGAGGTTACCAGGGATTGAATTTAGGACCTTGCTCTTGCAAGGCAGTGGTGACGCCACTGAGCTGAATCCCCAGCCCAAGTTTAAGGTTTTTGCGATCGTAGTAGTTTCCTTGGAATTGATTTTAAAGTATAATTCTCTTAATTAAAAAAATAATGTATTTTCTGTCCACAACTGTGACATAGTGATTAGTGCTTCCATGTAAAATTTGGAAACGACTAAGAGTTTTTTTAAGAAATTAAAGTTAGAATTTTCCAGAGAAAGGGAAATTTGAAGCCATGATACTAAACTCAGCGTATGATGTTCCAAGCTGGCTTCTGTCTGACTCACCAGACTGTCCTATTTGTCTCCCAAGGGGTCTGCAAAGTTAGAAAAAGCTGAAATACTGCAGATGACAGTGGATCATCTGAAGATGCTTCAGGCAACAGGGGGAAAGGGTAAGTGGGAGGCTTCAGTTTTACTTCTTTCTACCTTTTTCTTTTCATCTCTTCTTTCTAATATTGTAAGGAAGTTGTAGCTGAACAGTTCTTTAACGAGCTGAGATAGGCAGTTCCCAATTAAAGCTGGGGAATCAGTGCTAATGGCAGGATTGAACTTGTGGGAAAGAACTTCTGGAACAAAGGAAGCCCTTGACCCTGGGCTTGTGTTTGCTTTCATAATGCTGTGGGAGAAAAGCTTCATTCACAGCCGCCTGGTCAGAGATTTGTTTGGAGTTTAAGAAGCACATGCTGGAATCTGTACAGAAAGTCAAAACAAACACACAAACATCCAAACATAAACAGGAGGTTAGAAAAAACCTTTAACTCCTACTCCTTCTCCTTGTTCCTCTTCCTCTTCCTCTTTTTTCTATTAAATCAAGGCTAGGTGGCAAAATAGTTTAGCTATTCCAAAGGAAGTGACTCCACAATTATTTTTGTTGTTTCCAGGTTTTGGCTTAGTCTTGGCTTTACATCAAATAGCATTTGAAGGGCAGGTAGTGAATGTCTGGCCTAGGAACATTAACAGAGTTGACCCATTCCTGGGAAGGACGCTTAGGAGCAGGCACTGTGGCCCCAGCCTCCTCCTGACCTGTACCCCAGGGAAGGATTCCAAGGCCGGAGAGGGATCCTCCTCTCATGCCAAAAATAGACTTGAGCTACTAGAAGCTGTAACACCATCCAGATTTCCTGAACCCACTTCCCATGCATCACTAAGACACTGTAGCTTTTTCACCTTTTAAGAAAGCCTTTGATATCAGTGGAAAGGGTTATTCAGTATATTTAACAACTGAATAAGGAAAGGGTGCCAGAAGCAGTTAAGTAAGCAGGTAAGTCCTGGAGGCCTCCTGGGCTGAGTACCAGCCGTTACTACACAGCGTAGAAGTCCTAGATCAGGACAGAGTGGGGCACTGGATGGCAGTCATCTTGACAGACCTGAGTACCACAGAATATCCGCTCTGGCCCAACACTTTCACCTGCATCAGAAAGGAGGCCATCGCCATCCATATGGTTTGACTTACCTAGGAACAGCTCTGCAGGAATAAGGAATTGCATAGGTTAAGCACACATTCTTGTAGAAAAGAGAAGGAAACTGGGTGAAATCTTAGAATCCAGTGAGCCAGCCCCGCTGGGCCACTGCTGGTCTTAAACCCAAGATGGACATCACCTGCTGCTCTTTGAGAGTTATACTAGCAGGATGAGCACCAAAAACTCTAGTATCTTGATCTGTCTTTTCACTTGCTCCTTGCAGATGTTGGGAGACTAATTTGAGTTCCTTCTGGTGCAAGAAAAGTTGTGTGATGGCTCTACCTCCCTTGGTCTTGTTAGCCACCAGACTGAGGATTGTTAGGGGGCGGTTAAATATTTGGCATGAGTTATATTTCTTTCTTTCCTTTTTTTTGTACCAGGGATGGAACTTGGCACCTTGAGCTTGTGAGACAGGCGTCAGAATCACTGAGCTAAATCCCCAGCCCCAATGAGTTATATTTCTACAGAGTCACACTGCTCTTCAGTTTTATACTAAAAACTGAGTTCCGCCTTGCTTGCTATTCTGGGCTGTTTGAACAGTTGTACATTCAACCAAGAATAGTTTGTGAGTAGACATTTCCAAGCAGGCACCATCAGTCAGCTGACTAGCAGGGCACTAGAGAGGTCTCACATAGGAGTATGTATAGGTGTGACCAAGGGGGACTAGCAGCCTAGGCTCACATGGTCCGACGCCAGCTGCCTCATAGTATGGAGGGAAAGAGCACAGGCTCTGTAGCTGGGTTGCCTGATTCTGACTCCTGGCTCTGCCATTTATTAGCTTTGTGACCCAAGGTAAATTACTAACCTTCTCTGAACTCCAAATTTATCATTAGTAAGATGAAGATATTGTAAGTTAATTCACTTAAAGCTGGTAGAACCATGCGTGGCATACAGGAAGTGGTTATAGACACGTGTGCTATTGTTGGCCCACAATCCAGTCAAAAGACAGCTGTAGATCATCATTTCCCTTTGCATTCAACAACAGGATGGGAATTACATAATTTATACTCCTTAAGATGCAACAGAAGACTCGGCCATATTCAGCAACATAGCTGGCAAACCACAAATGTCACTCACACTGTGATGACTAATGAAAATGTGCAGGATTTCCCAGAGTTCAAATCCTGCTCATTCATTCTTCAGAACCTATCTTGATATTACACTCACTTCTAGAGACAATTTAGTAAAGTAAGCTTCTAAATCCCTCTGGCTCTCTGAACTCTGTCTTCTCTGATTATTACCTCCCTTCTCCCATGGAAGCCAAAAGCTTGCACAGCCCACACTGAAATGACAGGGGGCCACCTTCAGGGATGGTGTCTCCTCCAGGTGTTTAGTTTGCTAATTATGCCAAGGTTCTGGAATGATCATAAGTTTTGCTGCTAATCTTCCACATTTCATGATCTTCTCTTTGGGCAGCTTTGTGTTATTATTCTACTTTAATGGTGGATATACTTGTCCCCAAACATCCTTTAGGGATGCCCAGATTTCCACTGAAATTCCAGCCTTAGAACTTTTAAATAAATGGGACTACTGATTTCCAACATGCTTTGATTACAGAATAAGGTAATATGTGATATATATAGATATCTATATCTACATCTATATATAAGTTTGTTTTTTTGGGTTTTTTTTGTTTTGTTTTTTTTTGGTGCCAGGATCAAACTCAGGTCCTTGTGCTTTCAAGGCAGGTGGTGGAACCACTGAGCTAAATCCCTGGCCCTAAAATAGTATAATTTTTAACAGATTAAAAGAAAATCTAGCCGGGCGTGGTGGCGCACGCCTGTAATCCCAGCACTTGGGAGGCTGAGGCAGGAGGATCGCTGTGAGTTGGAGATCAGCCTGGGCTACATAGTGAGTTCCAGGGCAGTCTCAACTACATAGTGAGACCTGGTCTCAACCCCCCCAAAAAAATCTAACAAGTAACACTTTGATCTGCACAATCAAGTGAAATTATTCATTATAATTAATAATTGATAGAATTATATGAATTTCATATATTGATTTTCAAATAATTTCCTTACATGAAAAAGTAATTCCTTAGATGAAAATCACTTTACTTCAATGTGCTATTTCTCATGCATATATATATATATATATATATATACATATATATATACATACACACACACACACACACACACACACACACACACATCTGAAAAGTGAGGTGACTAAACTTTCAATTAGAAAATTACCTGCCAAGGATTTGCAACTGAGAATCTGAAAAGATATATTTGTACATACTAGAGGTCACTCATTCAAAGACAAGGTCATTTCCCAAAATAGCTATTACTGTGCCCTACACTGGCATTATAATAATAGACATCACTATTTTCTACTTTATTATTTGGGGGTTAAAAAAAAAGGACTGATCAAGGTGACCCAGGTAATAACAGTAGGTCTGGGGAGGGCTGTGCATATAGACTGTTACAGTTAATGTACTTTCTTTCTAGAGGAGATGCCAGAGAAAAGTAAACTGGCCAAGTGAAGGAGATACAGATATAGAGACGGATATATAGATATCTGAACTTCAGAAAAACTAGGAGTTACAGAAATCTCCTGTCACTAGGGCACCTTTATAATACCTGACAGGAGAGTAAGATCATCAAATTAGTAATCAAATTTTTTAAAACTCATTTGCATTTAATTTCTCTCATACAAAGAAATGGCAAGATGTTTTCCCTTTAGCAGTAAAAAGCATTATGATCTAAGAAGCACTTACGAATACACTGAGATTCTAGCACATCACTATAGAGTATCTTCAAGCTGCTAAACTGTACTTTCTTCAGTCCGTAAAATGCCCAGGCAGTAAGGATGATTCAGATAAACCCTGAGATTTCCAACTCCTGACAGAGACACAGACTTTTCCATTGGCTTCTTCCCGTGCAGACATTTCCTGGGGAAAGTCGTCTTGCCACCATCTGAAGGAGAGACGCCTTTTTCTTTCTGCAAGTGTTTGTGACAAGGATGCCCAGTGTTTTCCTACTATGATATTTAGTTCCAAGAATAACTGCCGTACCTTGTGCTGCCTCCGTTGCAAACAGGAGTTGCAAAGTCGTTTTGACCTCTGCACAAACGGAAGCCAGGGGCGGCTGGCAGGACTCGGTATTTAAACCTTCTGAAGGGCAGCATGCTCTTGGTGGGTGGTTATCCTTCGGATCGCCTCACTCTTGTCTCCCCTTCTCTGCCCGCTCTGCGCCCCTCCAGGCTACCTGGACGCCCACGCCCTCGCCGTGGACTTCCTGAGCATCGGCTTCCGCGAGTGCCTGGCGGAGGTGGCGCGCTACCTGAGCGCCGTGGAGGGCCTGGACG